AAACTATTATTATAATAATTACAGTAGTTGTAAATAGGTCAATTAAAATCAGCACTATAAAACAATAATGAATTTAATATAAATAACCTTAAAATATTCAATTTTAAAATTGCATTGCAATTTTCCAGTTGTAACCTTAAAGTCACATTGGAAATATTCCATCTATCAGAGGAAAAACTAGTTAGCAGTCATTGAAAATCAAATAAAGGTGCGGTTCATTCTGTTCATTGCCTTCTTCATGATAAACAAGTAATTATACAAATATTCACATACTGAATAAATATCAAATGTTCCATTTACTCTTTTGGCCAATTAATATCTTGTATATAAAATAAAAGGTAAGATGAAAAAATCACAAAATATCACTCAACTTTGATGGAAGTTTGCAGAAAGACTACGTCTATTATTTAATAAATAGGAAGACCCAGTGAGCCTTCAATTAAACTGTTGATAAAAATCATATCACAAGACAGAGAGCATATCTTTCTTAGTAATTTTATAGCAGAGGTATGTCATGAGCTGTATCCAATTTGTTCCCCACTATCATGTGATCATTATTTAAAAAAACATTAATGTACCTGTTTCTTCAAGTAATAACAAAAAAGTTTCTGACAACTTTCTGTATACAAGATTAAATACTACAATGTACAGCAACATAATTCTGCCATATGGCACAATAGCAAACATTATACAGTAACAAACATGCACTTGTATCACTGGTTTGAAAAGGGGGAGTTGGAGAGAATATTTGAATTAGTCTGATTTTTTGTTGGTTGACCATGTGACAGAAAACATTCCAGAGATGAAAATACTTTGAGAAACTTATTATCATATAGAGAAACCCCTATAACTAAAAACTATAAATTTACTTCAACCTGAACAATACAGAAGTAAAAATGTCTTACCACTATAGAAACACGCAGGAGAAGTCAATTAAAGTCAAAACTCTACTGCTTTGTTACCAAAATAAACTTTTATATTTGACATGCAAACAACAATTACAACAGCAGATGAATAAGTGAATAACAGTGACTACTTTATAAACTACCTTGTAGACAATGGGTGTTTAAACATTATTCATACATTTTGTTAATTAAACAACCACAGAAATTTTCATTACCTTTACTACTTTTTCAACAAAATACTGAGCAGTAGAGGGTTTCACAAAACTGTTTTCTGTCGTTTTGGTAAAAAAGGTTTCTGCATCCGAGTTCAGGCTTGGATCAACAATTTATGGCTGCAATGAAACAACAGTCTAAATAACATGAGCTTACATGCTTCTTACCTATCAATGAAGTAACACAATACAAATCACCCATCAGAAACTAAACTTCAATCCATAACTATGGATTGTTATTTGCTGATAAGTCATTAATACCTACACAAGTACATGACTATGAAACATAGGAAATATTCTTGGCCTTTTTTCAGTACTTTCTAGCATTTTAAAGTTATGCACTTTATATTATAATCAGTAAGATTTCTTTATAACAAAATTTATTTTCATATTCTACAATGCAACTACTGTCTTATTGAAGAATTCACTATAGAAAGGCTATTTCAAGCATCTTAAAGATAAGTTACAAATATGCTATTTATTGAAGAGTTTAAATCAATACTACATTTACCTTTCTACACTCTACTAATACCGAATTTAATCTAATTAATTGAAATAACATTTAAGTTCTAGCAATTCAATTAATACTAAATGTATGTTTCATTTATGAAATCCAAACATTATATTAAACTTTTATCAATTTGTTAAAACTACTACACTATAGAGAACAAACCAGACCAATGTTATCATCACCCAGGCCATTTCTAATTCAGAGCCATAGAATTTTGGGACAAAAAATTTAATATCCGAACACAACTTATGATTCAAGAGCTAAAGAAAGTAAGCACCAAAATAACTGATAATTTTTTGTCATTAAAAGTATAACAAGTCTTTGTTCATTTCAATTTTCAAATTTACTACTTTATATTTTTTTATAGAAGACAAATATTGCAATTTTGTTTATTCCACTAATCAAATTAACCCTTTTGAAACAGGTCACGTGTGAAAAGCCATGTCATCTCGTTTGTTGACTCGCATTCAAAATTTTATTCAACTACTATTTCATGAATTTATGTCAATAACTTTGGTATCAAACTGTAGATTATAATTCAAATTTTAGTACTACATATTACTCAATTTCTTAATTTAGAAGCAAATATTAAAAACACAGATAAACATCGATTTTTGTGTGTCACGTGGTATGTTGAATTCAGCACTGGTTCAAATTAGATGTTTGTGATGTCAAAATACAAAGTCTATAGTTTTATACGAATTAAGAAGTCAAATTATCGATATTATCGATAACAAGCTAGACTATAAAATAAGAACCTCCAAAGTGGCCCTGCTCACCTCTTTCCATTTTTGGAAATGCTCCCTCACATACACTTATTTCTATGACATGTGAATAACCAATAGCAAGCTCAGAATGTCCCCCTAGTAGTATTCTAAGCCATTGTAATGGACTTCATGCCATTTCTTTCTTTTGAACTAATATTTCAATGAGGTAGGGTGTATCTTTAGTCTGCTCAAAATTTTATATTTTTTAGACTAAAATACATCGTAGTTACTAAGCTTGATAAATTATAGTGGAATTTATGGTATTAATGTAGTCATTTATGATTTTTTTAGTTATTCAAATGTATATATATAAAACCTAAAAAAATATTCTGTTTCATATTCTCTACGTGCAATTTTTTTTTAAAGGCTTAGCAACCTATGTCAAGTAGCAACCGAGTACAAAGGTCGTAACCAGGAGAGACAATTGTTTGCTTTACTTCTTTAGTTACTGTTCTATGTTTTAAGTAAAATAAGTTTAAGAACTTATTTCAAAATAGCACTAATCTATATACATATATAATTTATAATAATTGAAATTTGACTGTTTTTTTACAAAATACTAGTCTACTAAAACATAGCCAAGACAAGTTACTTTGCACAGACCAAAAGTCAGTTTTGTTATTTGATATGGCAACATGAGTGCACGTGAGCTGCGTCAATGTAATTTCTGTATTGCTAGCCAGGCACAGCTGAAAGGTCAATATAATAAAAAAAATATATATATATAAATGTATAATGTTATGAGATTTAAGCTATTTAGTGT